GATGGATGGATGGATGGATGGATGGATGGATGGATGGATGGATGGATGAATGGATGAATGGATGAAAATACTTTTGGGGACTGGAGAGATGGCTCAGAATTAAAAGCACTGGCTGCTCTTCCAGAGTACCCACATTCGATTCCCAGTATCCACATATCTGCTAACAACTGCCTGTAACTCCAGCTCCAGGGGATCCAGGGCCCTCTTCTGACCTCTGCAGGCACCAGTCACACATGTCTGCAAGTTCATAGACATACATGCGGGCAAAATGCCCATACACTTAAAATTAAAAATTAAAAAAAAGTACATATTGTTGGGTACATAGTTCAACACTGGTAAAGGACAGAATCTCCTGCTAACCAGAATTAACTCAGTGTTTAGAATAGAGCCTTTGAGATCTTTTCTGGAAATATACACACACACACATCGTTCTGGGGAGGGAGTCCAGGCCCTTCTGCATGTCAGGCAAATACTCTATCATTGAGCACTTTTGCTAACCCTATATGAATGTTTTTTCTTTCCTATTTCATTTGGTAGTGTGACATAGAATTTTTTTTAAGTCACACTTCTCTTCTGACCTGATTTTCCATGGTTGTGCTGTATTTCATCGTGGGTGTGTTACTCCTTAATGTAACTATTCAATTTGAAGAAATGTGTATTTAGTGAAGGTCCACCTCCCTTCTTTCTTCATATGTTTATAATTTGAGTTGATTGAAATTATGTGTTTAAAATGACATCTTAATGAGTCCCTCTGCATGTCCCAGAGATGTCACACAAAAACTTTACATATGAAAAGCATGCACAAACTGGGTAGTGGCGGCACATGCCTTTAATCCCAGCACTCAGGAGGCAGAAGTAAACTGTTATCTGTGAGTTCAAGGCCATTCAGGACACACAGAGAAACCCTGTCTTGAAAAACCAGAGAGAGAGAAAGAGAAGGGGCCAGGGAGGGAAGGAGAGAGGAAGGGAGCAAGCACACAGAGCACACATGAGCACAAAAGTCAGAAGAAAGAACAGTGATTGGATGTTGTGCTGGCTTGCCAAATATGGGCATGGGCATTTGTTTGACATCTGAACATTTTCATATACCCTGGTGAAAGTAGAGAAGGGAGGGCTGCAAGGCTGCTTGGGCGGAGTTTTTCTCTGTGTCTTCTTGACTCAAATCTGAGCAGCCCATGAGAGCCATCTGAGAACTAGACAGTTCTGGGTTTGAAGAATGCTTTCCTACTTCCAAGGTCTCTGATGTCATCAAAGACCCCGGTCCCTCAGTAAACATGTGATATAGAAGCCAGCAGTTTTTACTGACCAGTGTAGTGCCTGAGAGGATGGTCTCTGACACCAAATCTCCTGGCTTCAGATACCAGGCCACTTGTGAGTTGTGTGATCTTGACAGGTTCTTAGCCTTTCTGTGTTTCTGTTTCCTTATCTATAAAATAGAATGAGCAGAGAGGCCACTTCATGGGGCTGCTGGAGTACACAGAAACTCTCGAGCCTTAAAAGCATCTAGTGGACACTTTAGTGCTCAGTGTGTTAATCTACTGTGGCTATGTCATGAATGATGTGTGTGACAATGGCATGCCTGCTGGGTCTAGAGACACTGTTCCACATGATTCCTGGAGCTGGAGCTGCTGAAAGGCAGTGAGCCTGCCAGGGTCAAACCTTTGCCAGAGGCCTGGGCTGTAGCCTTAAGGATGGTGAGCCACAGAGAACGTGGCGGCAGCAGCAGTCTTCTTTGGGCTCTGCAGTCTCAAGGAAGCCCTGCTGCTCTGGCCCCAACTTCTCCTTTGCACACTTCAAAGGCTGCAGTGGCAACTGGGTCCAGTTGCACTGATTGACTTCCCTGATCAGAGTCCCACCAGCCTAGGTCCCATAGCCCCCACACACTGCATCCAGCTCCAGCATCTTTATCCACAGCCTGGAGTAAACCTTCTAACCAGTCTCCCTGCAGCAAGCTTCCAGCCTTCCAACCAAAAAAGAAATTTAAAAAATAAAGCTTGGACTCCCAGAGATCTCCATTTGCCTCCAGACTTAGATGTGCTCAGCGAGGTAGGCCTTCCTTAGACTGCCACAGGCCTTCCCAGCCTGCTTGCACTTGTCCAGTAGGAACAACCAAGTCTGTGGGGCTTCACTCAGCTTTAAGAAGTATAGAGAGTCACAATTCCCCATTGTGAAGTTATTTAATGCACAAAGGGTTTTTCCCATCAGGAAAGATTCTCCTACAGGTTCCTTTAAATAGTGACTCCTCGAGGCAGGCAAGAGTTTTACAGATCATTAACTACATGACTGAAAGCCTGCAGGACACGGAAACTTAAAACTGAAGTATTGGGAGCCCCTGCCAATTACAGATCAATCCAGAATGAAGGCAGAGTATCACTGGAACCAAGTCAGTAGGAAAATGTAATTTGATTCAGGAAAAAGTCTCGTGCATGCTGCTTTTGTGGAGCACACCAATTGTTTAAATGATGTTCCACCTGTCTGCCCATCTTGAGCCTTTTGCATTCACCTCCCATATCTCCACCCCCAAGCTGCAGTCATGGAGTTCCCTTCCACAAACTGCACCAGTGGCAGTAACCTCAGGAAAGGGTGTCATTGGGAAAGAGTTCTGTGGCCAAGTGGAGTGTAGGCAACTGATGCACAGATACAGCAGGTAATGGATGAACTATGCGCTAACAATTTGCAGATAAAAATAATGGAAGTTAAAAGTGTACTTTACATGATAAAAGAAAGATGAAAGAGGATGAGCAGTCTGTTACATCTGAGATGGTTACGGGAGTCCTGCTTTGTGAAGTAGGCTCTGTTGAAAAGATTGATGCAATGGGGAGTGACCTTGGCTTGGAGCAGGAGCTGGTGATGTATGTATGAGCATCCCTCTGCTAAATGGACCCAGATTTGTAGCACTAATATACATGGGAGCCCAGAACCAAACTCAGTATGGCAATAAATCAACAGCCACTTTGGGTGTCATTTCTGGTTTATATTCCACTATTGTTCTATCACTTTAATTCATGTCACTATCATCTTTTCATCTGGAACAGTTTTATATAATTTTCCAGTGGAGTTACCTGACAAATCCTATCAAATTAACAAGGTACATTAACAGTATTGACTGACTGCGGCTTCGGGAGTTGCGTGGCCTAAGAACAAAATTTTAACCATCTCTGTCCGGTGCTGATTTTTTCCCTTTCTTTCTGAAAGAGGAATGTGGGGCAGGGTTTATTTCCACATAAGAGATATTCACATTTATTTTTCTCTGTTCGTTTTGACTGTTATAAATGTCAAAATAAGAAGCAGATAAGGAGGGGAAACCCTGCTCACATGATCGCACACCCCATTGCCACAGTGTGCTCTTCGTGACCGCTCACCCCGTTTTCACAGCATACACTCACATGATCGCACACCCCATTGCCACAGTG